GGAACTAGCAGGATGATTAAAAGTTGTTTTCCTTTGAGAGTGATTGGAAAATGCATTGTTTTGCTGCTCAGTTTCTGAGTGCTGTATTTCACTCATCATCTCCATTGCAGGCACTAAAAGCTGGGAATATGTCATCTGTAAACCAGAAAGTAGCCTTTCCCATCATGGATCCCTCCAGATGTTTTGGTTTATAATACCTATCTATCAGTCCCAGGCTACCCTAGAGAGAAAGATGTGAAATATGGCTGGTTTCAGTGCACCCTGCTCCATATTTCTTTTTCTGCTACTCTTACGTTACCAACATATTCAGAACCAAAGTAGATACAAAACATAGATTCATTATTGGATTTCTTGCCTCTGAGTTCTGGCAAATAAGCATAGGAGGCTGGGGAAAAAGGAGGAACCCGGATCATTAACCCTTTTCCCATGCCATTTTCCTAATGAAAATTGCTTCTCTCCAGAGCTGCTGTTTTCCCAGCTCTGTTTCCAGAGAGACTTTGTGTGTAATCAGCCTGCGTATATACATTTCTGAAATGGGACAGATAGCAGATTTAAGGGGTAATTATGCTCAGGAAATGGATCAGGGAGTGGAAACATTTTCCCCTCCCCCAGTGCCACTGAATCAGCCTCCATCTCTCTTGCCAAAGTTATAAGCATTATATTGTCCTCTTTGTCCAGTCTGGCTCTCAAATAACTTACTTGAAGGAAATATAACGTTCAATTGTTGCCTTCTTCCTCTGAATTCTAAATTTCCTAGATCAGAAATTACAGGCTTCATATCAACCATTTTTAAAAGGAGTAAAAATATGAAATTAATAATAGATTGCTAGCAGAGTTTTTGGTAAAGCAGCTTTTCTAATGGAAATTAGTAGATTGAAATAAGAAACATTTTATACCATATTTTACTCACTGTACTTCACGCTACCTATATGGCCCCATGTATTTTGGGAACAGAGATGGGTGAACTTTGCTTTTTATTATGGTTACAAAAAACAGTTGGAACATTTCCTCAGCAAAGAGTAACCTTGTGAATTATAGCCCTCTGAGTGGCATTGTGAAGAAATGCAAGCCTGGCTGATGCAGATAGGCTTTGAAGATTAGCTGAGCATCCTCATGTCCAATATTCTTATGTTTAGTGTGGGTAGAGTTACACAGCTTGGCCTGTTTTCCTGCTGTATGGTTCAGATTAACCCAAGTTGTCTTTGTCCTCCTTTTTCTTCCTACACAGAGGGAAAACATGTTCCTCCTTTATCATTGGCCTAGTATAGGCTTATTAATTATTGCATGCCATCCTAATTAATGTACAAAACCTTGGTAGAATGTATTTGGCACAGTTGACTCCTCCCAAAGCTGAACTTGGTGGTAGATGAATAATCATATAGGCAGGCGATGTCTCCTAAAGCTGGAAAGGTTGCCAGTCTGAAAGCTGCTTTTCCCCTATCTATCTTCTGTGAACTGAAAAACAATCCTCTAGTTGTCAGGCTTTGAAATGCAGCTGTTCCTTTTGACAGGCTTCTTTTTCAAAAAGTCTAGCATTGATATTGTTGTTTGGAAGCATTGCACCATCTAAACAAAGCCATATATTTTATTTGTTAAGTCAAGTGAAAAATGTGTCTGCCCTTCTCCAGTTCGTTGGCAGGAACTGAGCAAACATCAATTTTGCTTTGCTTTTCTTCCTGGAAGTCGGTTCAGTAATTGTGAGAAAAATCTTTGATTGGCACGCCTGCAAATATAAATCCTTTATAAAGGAATAAGAGTGGTTTATTAACTGGCTACAAGAAAAACCTAATTGCTTTAAGCCAATACTACTTAACTCCAGTATTCTTGTTGTGATGGCAGCCAGTTCTGGAGGCTTAGGAATAAGTTCATAGTGGCATGACCTATTGGTGTGTACTGTGGAGGCAACTGCTCTGTTTTCATCTTGGTAGCTCTAACCACAAAGTAGCAGCTAAAGGCAATTGACTTGCATTAAGCAAAAACTTCCAAAAGTGGGTACTTTATAAACTGCTGTCTAGCATTACATCAAGGCCTCTTGGGATAAGAGAGACAAAACCACAGCATGTTTGCACTCCCAGTAAGCTATTGATATTCCAGCAAAGACCTATCCATCCAGAATGGAATCAGATACATTTGTTTTTCCAGTATCAGTTTGGCCCCATAATACAGACTACTTGTGAAAGTTCACACTCTATTTTTAAGCATCTTCCTTATGCACCCATTGAAATTAATAAGAGTTAGCAAGAATGGTCAGCATCCCAATGATCTAAAAGCTTGAAGTAGTTAGAGCGATAGTTAACGAAGTGTGAGTGTAAATAATCCAAGAGGAAAAACAAAGTCCCAACCATTTGGGGGGAAAAGAAGAAAATGGCGGGCCCAGTTGCTATCACTTGTAAGGGGAAGATGGCTTGAGAGGGCAGCAAGGAGACAAGCAGAGAGAAAGGAAGTCATCCAGCAGAGTTAGAGAAGGCAGTGGGGAGGCCTGGACCTGGATTCTTCCCATGAAGATCTCCCTGGGATCTGACATGGGGAAGAAGAAACAGAAGACTAGAATCTCAAGGCTCTAGGGGTAAGAGGAAGAAGGCCTGTGAGGACCATATTTGCCAGAGGATGGAGAGAAAGCATAGATCTTTTTGACAAGGACAAAATGGAAGGGTAGGGCTGGCTTGACTCTCATGACTTCTGGAATTTCCTCCTCAGGGAAGTCCAGAAGTCTTGATTGCATTCTTATCCAAAAAATTAGCCAAACATTTCTACTGTAGCAGGTAGTTGGGGAGCAGGATGGATTTAATTTTAAACTGACTGGTTTTATTGCTCTGCTGTTTTGTGTTGCCCTGTAGATTTATTAGGCTGCTATTTTAAATTAATTGTTAAGCATTTATTGATATTTTGTGACCATATAAAATTGGATTTTAATTGTTTTGTAATTTAATATTGTAAGATGCCCTGAGGGGCCCGTTCAGGCAGTGTAGCAGGATATAAGAATAATAAATGTACTCATGTGCAACCCTTACTAAACTTTGGTCCAGAAAATGTGTCTTTAAATGGCTAGCAATGTTATCTTCATAAACTTGTTTTACAAATTTAATTGCCAACAAAACACTTGACCTCACACATGAAGAAGTCAAGCTAGTGAAAACTAAGAAAGCTACCTTACTGCAGATCAGACTCAACTATTTGTATGTTAGCCAGCACTGTCTACTCAAACTGCTAGAAATTCACCAGCTAAGATCTTTCACATCAGTCACTAGCAGGAGATCTCCAAAGTTAACCCTGGTACCTTATGTAGGCAAAGCACATTTTTTATCATTGGACCGTGGTCCCTTCTGGCACTACCCCACTGAATTCATTATGGAGCTTTGCAGCCTTCACATCTTTTTTACCTTAGTCCTTCATAATCTCAGATCCTTGTTCTGTAAATGATTAACTACATGCTAAGATTCAACTGAAAATGTGGAAATTACATTGAAATGGAACTGTAGCCGTATAGAAGGGATAATAACTACATGATGTGCTCTTGCAAAAACTAATGCTTTATTGACCCAAATACAAATGTGCATAGTCTGTATAATGACTTGAGAATCACAGTAAGTATACATATCCTGTTCAAGGATGGTCTGGATAATAATCCATGCTCTGGCAACCTCCCATTTGGATTCCTGCATCATACTAGATGTGTATCTTTCCTTGAAGATGAGGCAGAATCTCTCACTGGTACAGAGTGTAGCAGCAAAGCGGTTATCAAAAGTTTCTTTTTGAGACCATACAATCCCAATCTTAAAATAAGTGCTTTGCTTGTCTATACATCACTAGTCTGCCTTCCTCATTCTTTAGTAATGATGTTCAAAGCCCTTAAAGGTTTAGGATCCTGATTCTTAATGGAAGCACCTTTCCTAGCACATATCTCTCTGAATGTTAACAGCTGCAAGGGAGGGCCTTCCTAAGGATTCCTCAACTGGGAGTGGTATATCCCAAACTGAGAGAAGGCTTTTGTTGTAGCCCCCTGGCTAGCTGTAGAGTGCCCTTCCCATGGAGACCAAGCTGGTGCTCTCTCAGTGCCAGGTGAAGACCTGGCTTTTAGTTTCTCATTCTGGAGTCCTGAGCCTGACTCCATCTTTCCTTCCTTGAGTGGTTCTCTAAAATCAGGAATCTGGTAGCAACTCTTCAGACTAAGAGATTTTATTAAAAGACATAAGCTTTTGTGAGCTACAGCTCATCATCAAATGCAAATGGTCCTCTGTTAAGTGTTATTTCACATTTTTATTTTCATTTTGGTGCCTTTGAGTCAGTGTTGATTTCTGGTGACTGCCTGGACAAGTCCCTGCAGTTTTCTT